TGCGTCTATCGGTGAGAGTTGAAATGTTGTTGTAAATATGGAGGGATTGAGTTGAGGTGGTTCGATAGGCGGATGTGATAATTCGTAGGCATGTGTTTTGGATATTGTCTAATTTCTGCAAGTGTGTTTTAGCTATATTTTCAAATATGATAGATGCGTACTCGAGGATAGGCCTAATGATGGATTTATAAATGTTAAGTAGGGTTTTTCGGTCGCCGCCAAAATCTGTACCAGAGAGTGCTTTGAGAATGTTGATTCGTTTTCTTGCTCTAGTTGAAATTTGTTCAATGTGTAACCTGAAAGTGAGACCTCGATCTAATATGATTCCTAAAAATTTTGCGTCGTTTCGAATTTCGATATCGCTATTGTCAATTTGGAGGGGCAATGGATTAATTGGTTTTCTGCTGCCAAATATGACGCATTGAGTTTTGTCGGGTGATATATAGAGATTAAGAGGTCGGAGGTTGTTCTGTACAGTTTTTAGGGCACGGTCTAGGTTACTAAGTGCTGTGTTGGAACTTTTATGTGAGGACCAGATAGCTATGTCGTCAGCGTATATTGCGATTTTGGATGGGGCAGGAACGGATTTGACAGTAATGTTTAAGGCCAGGATAAAGAGGAGAGGACTGAGAACGGAGCCTTGCATGAGTCCGGAAGTTGGAGTTTTGGGATCGGATATATGGTTGAGGAATTTAACTTGGAAGGATCTCTTTGTTAGGTATGTATTAAGATAATGGAGAAGGTGTCCGTTGATTTTGTTTTTAAGGTAGTCAAGGAGAGGCTGGATATTAAGGGTATCATAGGCATTTTTTAGGTCAAGAAAGAGTGCTGCTGTATATTGTTTGGAGTGGAAGGCATTTCTAATATCGGCTGTTATTTTGACTAAATTATCGAAAGTTGATCTGCCGGGTAGAAAACCACACTGATTTGGGGATATGAGGTTTTGTTTTTCAATAATATAGAGGAGTCTGTTTTTAATAATCCGTTCAAAAATTTTGTGAATGGTGTTTGTAAGGGAGATAGGTCGGTAGCTACTTAGTTTGGTGGGGTCTTTGTTTGGTTTGTTTATAGGAATGATATGGGCGTGGAACCAGTTTTCAGGATAGGAGTGCGAGGAGAAGGCGTAGTTTAATGAGTAGAGGAGAGCTAATTTAGCGGTTTGTCCCAGGTTCTTGAATAGGTGATAGTGAATTTGATCTGGGCCAGGACATGAGTTTCCGGTTCTGTTGATGGCGTTATCTAATTCGTATAAAGTAAATGGGAGGTTATAAACTTCGGTGGTGGTTTCTTCTGGGATGATTAAGGGTAATGGAGGGGGAATACTCGAGGAGATTGATTTATAGAAGTTTGAAAATTGTTCTGAAATTTCTTGTGGGTTTGTTAATGTGTTGTTATTATGAATAATGTATGTTGCTTTTTGTGTTGATGTTTTCAGTCCTTTAAATGCTTTAAGTATACCCCAAATTTTTGAGAGAGGAGTGAATCTATTAAAGGAGTTTGCGAGCTCTTCGAAAGATGTTCTTTTGGCTTGTTTGATTACTTTTCTACATTTTGCTTTTGCTTTTTTGTAATTAATAAAGTCTTCTTCTGAGCGGGATTTTTCATATCTGTGCCTAGCCGTGTTCCGGAACGTTATAGCTCGTTGGCAATCGTAGTTCCACCATGGTACAGATTTTGGTTTGGCATTGTTGTTTGGTTTTGTTTGTGGTATGTGTAGTTTTGCTGTTTCTGTAATACTTTCAATGAATTGTTCGGGTGTGGGTTGTCTTTCGATCACGTTTTCTAGAGTGTTTGTAAAGGAATACCAGTCTGCTTTTTTAAGGTTAAATCGTGTGTAAGAACGGTGTTGTGTGGTAGTGTGTCCTAGTGTGATATGGATTGGTAAGTGGTCGCTGAAGTAAGGGTCTGGTGAAGTTTCCCATGTTGTTGAAAGTGCGAGTGTTGATGAGGTGGCTGTGATATCTGGTGTGGTGTCAGAGTTTGTTGTGGTTCTTGCAGGGAGTGTAGGGGAGCCGTCATTGTTGATGACTAGCTGAAGGTTATCTACGAATTCTAACAGAATTTTGCCTTTGGAGTCCGGAAGTCTTCTACTTCTATCCCATAGTGGGTGGTGGGCGTTAAAGTCTCCACATAAAATAAAAGGGGATGTCAGAGAGGTTACTAGGGTTTCTAAGTCTTGGATAAATTCTGAAAAATTAATGTCCGGCGGGGCGTAAGTGTTTATAACGGTTAGAAAATTTTGATTGGTGCTGATTTCGAATGCTTGGATGTCAAAAGTTGTAGTGATTTGGATTTCTCGGAAGGCTATATTACTTTTAATGTATGTGCATACACCTCCTCTTCTTTTGAGAGGTTGAAAAAGTGCATCTTTCCGAATGAGAGAATAGGTTGCAATTTCGAAATTATACGGATCAGATGGTTTTAAATGAGACTCTTGAAGACAAATGACCGATTTTGAAGAAGAAATTAATGCTTGTTTTAGTTCGGACCAATTTTCAGGGACTCCCCTCACATTCCACTGCAAGAGTGTTATATTTTTGTTGTGGGTGGGTGTGCTATGTGTGGTGGAGTGGTGAGGCATTACTGCTGTGTACTGTGTTTACTGTTTGTGTCGGAGTGTGAAGTGAAAGTCGGAGGGAGCCGACTGGAGGCGTGTGCGGCGGGTCTTCGGTGGCGAGGTGGGACTCGTGGAGTTTGAGGTCGAGGCCGACTGGGATGAGTCGTTAGACTCGTCCGAGGACCGAGGTGGTGGTGGCGGTCGGTTCTTGGGCACAGGTTCGGGTTCGGGTCCCACACTGGCGCCCGGCCTGGGAGTCGGTTCCTCAGACGGTGGTGGGATGGCCGGGCGTCGTCGCGGGTCCCGGTCAGAGACCCCGGGTGGGGTCTGGGCGGCCACCTCGAGCCGCTGCGCGGAGCGGGCAGCACCGCTCTGCACGCTGGCCGGTCGGGGGGGAGGGGTTGGGCGGTAGTGAGAGGGAGGAGGTGCAGGGGACCGGCCAGAGGAGGAGTGGGACTTAGGGAGATGAGGGTACTCCGCCTCAGTCAGCGGAGGAGGGTGGGAGGGTCTGACTGAGGTCGAAGGGGGAGGAACAGGATTGGATGAGGGGTGGGAATCCACGTACGCGCGAGCGTCGCGGGGGTCCCAGCCCCTACGGATGAGGAGGGTGACCTGGGTCTCAGAGATCCAGCGGGGACAGGATGGGTCGTTCGCGGTGTGGGCGCCGCCACAGCCTGCGCACAGAGGATCTTCGGCAGGACACTGGGAGGATTCGTGCCCCGCCTCGGCGCAGTTGGAGCACGTGGGGGAGTCGGATCGGCAGTGCTGCTGGCGGTGTCCATAGCGCTGGCACCGCCGGCAGTGGAGAGGTTTAGGAGGGACTGCACGGACGAGGAAGGATAGGTAGGCGGCCAGGATGTAGGGGGGAGGTTCAGCGGTGGAGAAGGTTAGGATAAGAACTTTTGGAGAGCGGGGCGGGCGATACACGGCGGTAACGCCCACCCGGGAGAAGCCCTCCTCCAGTTCGGACAAGGATAGGTGCTGGAGGGATGGAGCGTAGATGGAGCCCTGGCTTTGGTTCAGGTGGGGCGGAGCCCACACCTTCACCTCAGCACCGGCGATTCGCCGGAGACCGAGCAAAACTCGTTTCTCCGACGCCTCGCAGGCGACGAGGAGGTCGCCCCCTCGCAGCGGCCGGGCACGGGGACAGCGCCCGATCGCCGACGAGAGTGCGTCCCCCACCGCCCAGGGGGAAAGGTCGGAAAGGGGAGAGCCGTCCATACGGCGGATGCGGACAAAGGATGGGACAGGAGTAGAGGAGAATTGGAAGGAGGATGAGGCAGGGTTACGGGACATGGTGGAGGTAGGAAAGTGAGGTGGGTGTGGGAGTGCGTGGGTGTTGAGGGGGTGGTGTTGGGTAGTGGTGGTGTTGTATGAGCGTAAGTGGGTGTTGTCTTGTGTTGTGTTGGTAGTGGTGAGGTGCAACAAAGTGTGACTTACAAACGTGGTTGGTGTCGAGACGAAGGCAGCGGCAGCGAAGGTAGCAAGTCGGTTGAAGAGCGAAACACGACTGTGTGACGGTACACATGGACCCCACAATGCAGTCCAAGATGCAGACTTTCCGATGCAGTGGGCTTTCCATTCAGTGGCTTATCGTTCACGAAATCTTGCTTGGGAACGGGGTGTGTGCGCATTCAAATTTGTGTGGCGTCATTCGGCATAGTTATAATCTGATAGAATAAAAGCTGTCGAGTTAAACTGATCAGTGATCTACACCATGGTGATTTCATTGGTCAATGGATTTCACTGACGGTAAAAATATGCGTAAACATTAGATAAAACCTGTATGCTCAATTTTTCAATCAGCATAAACGTGACGGAAATTACTTGCCTAATCGTCAAAGTTATATGTGCCTTATTTGTCCCTCACCCCTGCATTATGCATGAGTTATGCATTAGTTATGCATTAGTTAGTTATGCATTAGCAGAACCTTAACATAAATATAGGAACATGATTGTTTTCCTGTTGCGAACTTCTTCTCATGTCTAGGCTGCACGACAAAGCACTCGTACATTGGGTAATGGAAAAGCCAGACGAGAAACTGTAATCTCTTATCTCCTGTCTTACCGTGAGTATGACATTTTACACCTGTCATAGCAGGTGAAAACTGACTAAACCCCTATCATCCGGACCGATGCATTGATGTGGATGCGGTTTGTGCTGCGTCATCGCCGTCCCTCGCTGGAGCGGCGCTGTTGACGGCTGTAATAATATTACCGAAAAGCTATTGGGCGCTGAGATACGGGATAATTACGAATTGCAACAAACGCCGGACATGCCGAACAAAATATCTACTGTGACCTCAGCTAACTCGGTTTGGCCGAGCTGGACTCTGGGATAACCGTATATTATATAGGGCCTTAGGGATAACAAGGCTTTTTGATTCTGTCGTGAAAATGACATTTAAGCTATCGATATCTACGTGAACCTATGTGTATAAATGACAATTCAGACGACCACGTTGTCTGAAGTCCTTTATCGGTCGCCTCGGCCACGCACACACGCGGTCTTTGACCTACACCAGGCTATAGAGGAACAAAGGAGGGTAGGTGTGACGTCAGCGAACGAGATGACGTCATCAGCTCGGTATCGGGTGCCTCATGGGCCCAAGTACCGCAGTGTGCAGCCGTCGACCGAGGCGCACACATCTGTCAAATCTGTTCCCTCTGTTTACCTCGAGGTGCACCGAAGGACCAGCCGGTTTCTACAGCTTCGGACCGTTTACCAGTAAGGGTTGCAGGGCACACGCGCATGGCGTGCAATAAGCCCCATCGGCTGTTGGATAGTTTCAGGGAATTTTCCCACGATAGAGACTGGGAGCAGAAAGGGGAAGCCGTTGTCCGCGGGACGGTCAATGCAGGACAATTACGCAGGAGCAAGGCGGGTCAGCGTGCTCTCTTCTCCCCAGTGCAACCCCAGCTAATTAATTCAAGTGCACCGGGTCGCCGTACGCTACGCCTCGAGCTGTCCCGAGATTGTGAAATGTCAGGCCCCTGAACGACCATCGCCTTAGTTCAGGCGTCGGGTTGCCGTCACACACTGGCGGCTCCAGTTCAGTGTCTTGGGAGGGGCAAACAATAACAATGAAATGGTTATTTCCATGCACTGGTTACATTTATGGTAGCAGGCACTGTATACATGCACGGTGCCAGGTTTACGCGTAATCTAATGATTTTGCTGGTTGGGCGGGGTAATGCCCTCCTTGCCCTCCCCTGGTTCCGCCACTGACGTCGCCGCCGTTATCTCACCGTTGTTATCTCTCGCTCGTCGCCTTGGGTCGGCTCACGTGGCCGGTGCGGAGAGCCAGAGGTCCCGTGTTTGGTTTGTCCCGTGCTTTGGTTGGCTTCGCCTCGCCGGTCGGCGTGACGTCACCTTGCGGCTGTCCCCATTCCTAGGGGGGCGGTATTGGCGTTGCGCCGTTCATGCTCCGCCTCCAGCTGACGTCATAGGTGACGTCGTCCGCCCATGGACGATAGCATGGGCGCTCGGCGTAGCTGTTTGCCAAGGCCCGTGGCGCGGGTGATAGTAATGCCGCCGTAGCCGAGTGGTTAGAGTCTCGGTCTGGGGCGCGAAAGGCCAGTGGTTCGGCTCCTACCGTGGCGGTTTTTTCCTGATTGTGTAATGACGTCCTCCCGCCATTCTAGTGCAACTCCACCAGGGCGACTGCTGTAGCCCGCATCTGGGACCGGTGGTATATTAATATGTCTTCCCGCCATTAGGCGCGACTCTGCCACGGACATCTGTCAGCATGCAGAGTGGGACTAGTTTTTGCTAATTTATGTCCTCCCGCAAATTGGGCGCGACTCTGACAGCGTTTGTTTCAGTCAGCGGAGTGTGACACTAAATGATACGCAGGGTGGGACCAATGATATTCCTCTCGCCGCTCGGGCGCGACTCCGCCATGGACACTTGCACACGGACACTTGTCAGCTTGCAGAGTGGGATTAGTTTGGTGTCCTATCGCCATTCGGGCGCGACTCTGACGTGAGCGTTTGTTTCAGCCAGCAGAGTGGGACAAACGACATGCCGCGCAGGGTAAAATCAGTGATATTATATGATATGTCCTCTCGCCACTCGGGCGCGACTCTGCCATGGACGGTTGTCAGCATGCAGAGTGGGACCAATGATATTATGGTATGTCCTCTCGCCGCTCGGGCGCGACTCTGCCATGGACAGTCGTCAGCATGCAGAGTGGGACTAGTTTGGTGTGCTATCGCCCATCGGGCGCGACTCTGACGTGAGCGTTTGTTTCAGCCAGCAGAGTGGGACAAAACATGATGCGCAGAGTGGGACCAATGATATTATGGTATGTCCTCTCGCCGCTCGGGCGCGACTCTGCCATGGACAGTTGTCAGCTGGCAGAGTGGGACTAGTTTTGTGTCCTATCGCCCATCGGGCGCGACTCTGACGTGAGCGTTTGTTTCAGCCAGCAGAGTGGGACAAAACATGATGCGCAGAGTGGGACCAATGATATTATGGTATGTCCTCTCGCCGCTCGGGCGCGACTCTGCCATGGACAGTTGTCAGCTTGCATAGTGGGACTAGTTTTGTGTCCTATCGCCCATCGGGCGCGACTCTGACGTGAGCGTTTGTTTCAGCCAGCAGAGTGGGACAAAACATGATGCGCAGAGTGGGACCAATGATATTAATTATTATGGTATGTCCTCTCGCCGCTCGGGCGCGACTCTGCCATGGACAGTTGTCAGCAGGCAGAGTGGGACTAGTTTGGTGTCTTATCGCCAATCGGGCGCGACTCTGACAGGGCGATTGTTTCCGCCAGCAAAGGGGGCTGACTTATGCCTGCAGGGAGAAATTAATTCTCTGTCCTCCCGCCATGTCGGCGCGACTCTGCAACGGGCCTTTATCGGCTCGGAGAGTGGGACTAGAACAACGTCATATGTTACCCCAGGGGCGATGATCATTGTGTACTTGTAGCATTCCGACTGGTGTTTGGGGGCGCTTTGCTAATACTACGGACCCGTTTGTTCCAGCACGATGCTCCTGGTGTTCGGCGATAGCTTCGCCTCTTGGGCCAGTCGCCGCTGCGAGCTGCAGGCAGCCGTACAATCGGTCGGCAGAAGTGGCGGTCGGTTGTCAGACGATCGGTTTCGCTCATGGGCCAGCGGAGCTATCCGGCTCCGGCCAGATCGCATCCTATTGATGATCGGTGGGAATGACCTTGCTCAGGTCAGTTTCAGCACGCAGCTGATAATGCAGCGGTTCATGGAGCCAGTCCTCGGCCTTTGCGCCACAGGGGCCGAGGTTCACGGGTTCCAGGTGCCGCCCCGTTCTTCCTCCCGGCGTGGCTCGGCGTCTGTGACTGCGCACCGGCGGCGGAGGCGTCTCGCCACCCTCCTCTTCCGACGGCGCTTTGCGCGGTCAACCGCCGATGAGACGTCTGCGTTTGTCATTTTCAGCGACGGAGGAGTTTATTGGCTCGGATGGCGTCCATCCCTCGGCGGTAGGGTGGCGATCCCTTACTCACGTTATCAACGCGCTGGCCGTTCTCCCCCCATAAGGTGCATCTGGTGTGCTCCACCGTCGTGGCCCGTGGCGCCGCCTATGCATTCTGTGTAAGGACCCATACTCATTAGGTCCATGTTTCCCGAGCAATTGGATTAGACTATCGCTTACCGCAATGTGCACCGCAGTCAGGTTGTGGATAAACTGAGGTTTGGTTGTGAGGTTTGATAAAGATTGTGGATACTCTGAGCTAACCTGGTGGGAATGTTTCCAGAGCTATGATATTAGCCTGTCACTGCCGCTATGTGCATTGCAGTCGGATGGTGGTTAAACGCCAATGCTCTGACGGAGTGTTCTCTTTTCATTTTCATGTCGCCAACGAGAGATGCCGAAGGCGCGGGCCCCATCCCGCGGTCGAGCCGCCACCGCTGCATCAACGCCGTCGAACGTCGGTGTCTCGGGTCGGCGCAGCCGTGGTGTTCCCGCTGCCGCCGCACAGAGTCAGCCTCAGGTCTGTGTCGACCCGACACAGCTTCGGAACATCATCCAGGACGTGGTGCAGGAGGCGCTGGACGCCTCCGCCGCATCGAGACCCGCGGCCGCTCCGGCGCCGTCCTACAGCCACAGCGTCCCGGCATCCACCGGTTCAGCGCCGTACGACCCACTCGAGTCCCCGGAGAGCAGTCCGCTCGGTAACGCACAAGCGGTCTGCGATGGTACCGAAACGGTATCGGCCGCCCTCCGCCAAAAAATCGTGGAGGGCCGCTTTGTTGACCTCGGCCTACTGCTGGACCATGCCGACGGAACACGGGCGGAGACGAATCAGGCGCTCCAGTTGGTGGACGGGCAACTCCGCCCGGCTTCACGAGCTCCGCGCGCCATCACTTCGTTTGGCACGTGGTGCATCGCGTTCCTCCGCTATGCGGGAGTTATCATACAATCGCGTCCTGCCGCGGCGGCGGGCCTCATGGCTCATATGAGACAAGTGGGCCAGCTGACAGGCGCGGGGCTAGGGCTCGCCTGGCGCGAATATGACGAAGCCTTCCGCAAGGCGCGTGAGGTGGCGCCCCAGTGCCATGAGTGGGGCACAACCGCCAGCTCCTCCCCGCTTTGGCTACAGGCCGTCGCCAGGGGCATCGGCACCGCAGCGAGAGTCGGCAATCCCCCGGTGCGGCCTGTTGAGACCCCTATGCGTTTTCGGCCCTGTTTCGCGTACAACACAGCTCGGGGCTGCCCTGCCCGATCATGCCGCTACCAACATGCGTGCCGTACATGCCGCGGCGATCACCCGGCCACCCGCTGTGCGTCACAGCTCGCGCAAACACGCGCACGTATTCCCCGACCCAATGCCGGCCCAGCAGCTGCCGGTGCTTCCCGCTAGCTACAGCATGTGCTGCGCGTCCAGCCCATGGCGTCGACACGGCAAGGGGATCAACTCTTGGCCGCGGCGCCATGCGCCATGACAGCCAGCCCGGCATGGCCCACTGCGCTAATCCTGACACGATGAGGGTGCGGGACGCCTCTCGTCGCGGGTCAGCGCGAATGTACTATAATAATTAGCCAAGAATGCGGTGGGGTTACGAGTGTTCACTGTTCTCGATTAAGTGTTTATTCTCGATTAGGTGTTTTTGCTGCGCTGCGTTGCCGTTGCTCCGGGCGTATTTCCTACAACAGTGGCGCTACTGCGGCTTCCCGAACATGACGTCGACACGGCAAGGGGATCGCCTCTTGGCCGCGGCGTCATGCTTTGTGTCATGTCGCAATGTCAGGGTCACGCAACCACTATTTATTCAGCCAAGGTAGCGTTTGTGTGGCAAAGGGTTATGCACAGTGTGTTTCATGCTGCAGCGCAGCTCCGACACGGCCGGTGCCATGTAGCTCCGGGCCGCGGGGCTGCGATACCACCGGACAACGCGCAAACTGCACTATTATACAGGGTGTCCGGAAAGTCCTGGCGCTTTTCAATATTTTTAAAATAAATGCCTTTGGTCCATAGATACTCAACAATAGAACAAAACAATGACCACGAACACAAAGCCACATGCTTCTGCTAAGTGCCCATTCATTGTAACCACTGTCTGTGCCGATGACGGCCTCGACGCAAGGGCGGAAACTCCTGCGGTTTTTGATGATGCAGGGTATTTCCTGTCCTCCCATGCTGTCAAGATACGAGTCTTCAGCGACTGCAGGCTGTGATGAGAGGTGGCCTAGAGCTTATTCTGCAAAACGCGTAGCATGCCTTAGTCGAGCGGGTTAAGGCTGGGAGAATAAGGTGGCCTAATCTCATTTCACCACGGTGATCTGGTCCGCCGAGCTCCTCTGTCAGTTTGGTTTGGACGGCAGCGGCGTTGTTGGAGGGCGCTCCGTGCTGTTGAAATGCGAAATGACTCTTAGGGCAAGTCGCCTTGATCCTCGTGTCCAGGAGCCCCTCGTGGACCAGCCTGTCATTCATTTACATGACCTTGACGAAGACGATGGAACATTTGTGTCCATCAGACCCCAGATTTTCTTCGATTGCCGCTGAAGTGCTGCTTCAGTCTCCGCAGCTTTGGCATACCGTGGTCGTAACTGAGGGAGAATATTTTCTAGGAAATTTCCGAGCAGGAATGCACCTTTGCCTGCTCAACTGTTCGCCGGGAAACGCCGCATCGCGCTGCAACTTGCGCCTCGTTCAAGCCGCACCGGGCCCCCGCGCGCGGGCTCTCAGCGACAAGGCGCATCTTCGCCCATATACCTATCACTGAAAACGGTTGCAAAGTCATATTCACGCGACCCCTAGCTGAGCGGTGAACGAGGGGTCATATCTGTGGTGATTGGTTGAAAGTCCAATAACCACAGCGCGCGTTAGACGACGTCCAAAAGAGGCGTCAGGACTTTCCGGACACCCTGTACATATCGACTGCATCAAACCCCAGCGTGGCCGCCAGAGTGGGTTCAGGCGCCCACACCGCAATTCTCTGCTAACGGATGGCGTCCGTTTACTTCTCCCGCTCGCGCCACAGCTCCGTCGTCTCGTGGTTCGGTGGGGTGGTGGGCATGTGTCACCTCACCAAAAACCGGTCTAGCTGAATACAGTCCCAAAATCACAGTCCGGTTTTTGCGAGCACGAGAGCGACGGATAAATGACAATTCAGACGACCACGTTGTCTGAAGTCCTTTATCGGTCGCCTCGGCCACGCACACACGCGGTCTTTGACCTACACCAGGCTATAGAGGAACAAAGGAGGGTAGGTGTGACGTCAGCGAACGAGATGACGTCATCAGCTCGGTATCGGGTGCCTCATGGGCCCAAGTACCGCAGTGTGCAGCCGTCGACCGAGGCGCACACATCTGTCAAATCCCACCGCCAACCCCAGTCACCACCGCGTCACGTGATTAGTGTTGATATCTTTGCACCTGTATGACCACTTAAAATTGTGTAGTCACAGATACGTGTTGTGCTGTTCTTCCAGTGTATATGTGCATACGTTCTTGTCGGACTGTAACGCATATGTGGGCATGTGTCACCTCACCAAAAACCGGTCTAGCTGAATACAGTCCCAAAATCACAGTCCGGTTTTTGCGAGCACGAGAGCGACGGATAAATATATATATAGGTACATACCTATAACATAATATAATATACTTATAATATACTATAATGTAACATACTTATTTATATCCACAGTTGTAGTGACTTAGGGTTTGGAATTTGCCAAACCTAAGTTTTGATTACCAAGAGAAGTTTTGCTTCTTGCACTTGCCTTTTCTTCATAACTTTGGCGGAAATCGTCGTAGTGAGACTTCAGTGTTCCGTTAGCTGTCGGTTCTTGAGAGAGTTGGCCAGGCCGGACACCGGGGGCGGCTCCACAACTTTCGAAAAATTAAACCTAAGTCCTATTGCACTGCATGGAGAGCAATTCATTTAAAATCGCTCTTGTTCCCCCCCCCCCCCTCGACAACTTTGCAAACGTCTCTGCGCGATTTGGTTGAGAATAATGGCTAATGGCAAGTTATTGAATCAGAACGTCGATCACTGCAGGTCATATATCGGCAAGCAATTATTCATAACTAGACACTGCACAAATGGAAACGATACAGGTTTGCCCAGTGATAAACACTCGCACTGCACTGCACACCCCCGACCGAACGCGGCACGGCACAGCGCAACTGGCGCCGGGAAGCCGGGAACGCATTAAGTGAAGGATTCACAGGTGCGCAACTTTATTGCGAACAATAAAAACCTACCGCAAACGATTAAAAAAAAAGCTTTAGGGCAATCGGAAATACAAATGTATTGACTTATAGAAATAAAATTGTCATTCACCTTCCAAATAACCCAACAATTTATTTGCCGTAAAAAGTGTCTGGAAATGGAAAGTTGCAAACATGATTCAGCAAGTAGGGAAACGCAGCAGCTACCTGGCGAATAATCTCAGGCTGGTTTAGTGACGAGTGCATTGCTACGGCTTGTTCCTCACCCTTCACAGATTACTATGACAAAACTACCCCTAGTATTTTGATCATCCTGAGCCTGGCTTTCACCTAATAATTTGATGAGGGTCTTCCTCGTTTCGGATTGAGGCGAAAACAAACGTCAAACAGCCTTGATAGTTAATTCAGCACTTCAAAACAAAGGTACACCTAGGGTATCATTACAATACCGGATCATAACGATCTGGATAGTTCTCAGCCTGTAAGCTAACTAAGCGGTAACTAGTCAAGTGGTAGGTACCGGAAGCATTAACAACCTGGTGACTGTTTCGAGACCCTTGTTTTGACACATAGCTCGTCAATATTTTTTACAGTGTAATATACTATAATATACTTATACTTATAACATAATATAAATAGGTAAGTACATACTTGCTTTACTTCCCGGCTGTGGCATGTCAATGGGAGCGAATTACCGCCTATTATTATATGGGACGCTTCGAGAGTTTTGACGTTTGTTCATCCTGGACTGCTGGCTGCGATTGAGCTGTGGCATGTGTAAATATCGTGTACCTAGATGAGTGTATTCGGTGCTTCTCCTGCGACCGTTCCAACCACACTGCCCAGTGCCCACCCTCTCGCGCGACTCGGCGCCGCCGCCACCACATATGTAATGTGACACCCCCTCTAGACACATTTGTCAGTGTCGGCTAGACGGCGTCCCCCAGGCGCGTCTGCAGGCCACGCGGCGTCTCAGCCGGTCACACAGAGCTACACATGACTATAAACTACACGTCCCCCTATCTCAAAGATCACACGTCTCCACGTACACACGCAATAGCCGATTTCACGACGGCCAGCTGGTACACATTTGGTGCACATTTGGTGCAGATTAGGTGCAGATTTGGTCAAATTAGGTTCAGTGTATCTCTTAGAAGCTATCAGCTAGGTCTGCACTAATCGCTTATATGCCTCCTTTGTCATATTATCAGAGTGTATCACCGATTAAAACACTGAGATAAATTCATAAAATAAAGATATTTGCTGTAAAAGAGATTAGGTGCAGATTTGGTCAAATTAGGTGCATTCGCCGGATACCTCGTCGTGAAAACGGCTAATATGACGCAATGCACTACATCAGACACTAAAGACACAAAATACGACACAATCAACGTGAAAGACGAGATACATTACAAAAGTTAGCCGATATTATTCGGTACTACTACCCCGAAGCGTTCTGGCGGAGCCCCCACTCTTGCGATATGTCGCGGTGCGTCCTATCAGGCTCTCCCAAGCTAAAGGGCGCAACTCAGGGGCGTAGGCAGGGGGGGGGCCACTGGGCCATGGCCCCCCCCCCCTTGGGCGCCGAAGGCGCCCTTTGCGATTGGAGGGCGCCTTCGGCGCCCTCCAATCGCGAATGCAATTGTGATAGAATCGAATCGAAAAACAATCGCGACTGGATACGTAAGCCTATAGGATCGCTGCCTTCCTGCCCACTGGTGCCCTCATTTGATCGGTGTACTCCTACCTATTGGTGCTCTCCTGTAAATAGGCGCCCTCTCACCCGAGTCCCGAAGGCGCCCTCCTGTAGGTCGCCACCCTGCTACACATTGCTACCCTTCTGCTGGTCGGCGCCCTCATAATTATTGGCGCCCTCCTATCTATTGCGCCCTCATGTGAAATTTTGATGGCCGCCCTCCTCCCTTTTGGCACCCTCTTGTTGAGTGCCGCCCTTCTAGCCATTGGCGCCCTCCTACCTATCGGTTTCCTAGTCCCTCCTGTTGAATGCTAATCGGGGCCCTTCTACCTATTGGCGCCCTCGTGTTGATCGCCGCCCTCCTATCCACTGGCACCTTCCTGTTAAATCGGCGCCCTCCTCACAGACGCCCTCCTGTTCAATGTCATCCTCTTGGGCAAAGGCGCCCTCCTCACCATTGCCACCCTCCTGTTAATCGTCAACCTTCCACTCATTGGCGACTTCCTGTTGATGACCGCCCTCCTCCCCATTGGCGACCTCTTGTTGATCGCCACCTTCCTATCTATTGGTGCTCTCCTGTTCCTTGCCGCCATCTCACCCATGGTGGCACCCTCCTGTTGATTGTTGATCGGAGCCTTCTTACCTATTGGCGCCCCCCCCCCCCTTTTGATCGCCGCCCTTCTACCCATTGGCGTCCAAGCTTCGGTGATTGAAGGTGCTCAACACTGTATGCATCTGTGAGAAGGTCATGAGGGCTGGTCGAGGTAATTTGGATGAGAAGCCCGAGAAGGCTAATCCGTAATCGATCTCATGAGGAACAGCCCTGTTATGGTTTCTCTTTCTGTTGTTGCCGCCTTCTCGTTGTGCGCTTGTGTTTACGCACCTCGCGCTCCGGTATCAATCCGATATGGTGATCTGGTGTGTATATGCCACCGCCAATAAACTTTTCTACATCGTCACCCATGGGCGAAGCTTTCTATACAGCTTGTGTGGCACCGGCCCCACCAAACCTTAGGTATTTTTTACACCTTCAAATTTGGTAAAAGAGCGGGAAGAGCTTTGAACAGTGAGCACGCAAAAGATGTGCCTGAAAAGCGGAGGAAAAGGTTGTTTTCAAAAATTTCGCGCGCCTTCGGCGCAGCATTTCACAAACTCTTCTTTACTAGGAACTTAGTACCTATGCCAATAACTTGCAACCTTTTTGTCACGTGTGAGATGAACCCGCGCCAGGAGGTTTCTTCAGACATGCGGTTAAAAAAGATCCGAAAAAGGTGCCACTACGTTACGAGCTTCCGTTTTTTTTTCCTGGGGGAGAGAGGGAAGTGGGTGAGCGAGAGGGGCACACTTTTTGGTACATTGCTCTTACACGTGCTCTAAAAATGCAAACCATAGTCGCTAAAAGCAAGGTCATCAGGTCATGTCAATTGATCTAACTTAAAAAAAGTTTTAAGCATTGTCACTTAAGCTGAGCGGGTGAATTGACCTTTTTTGACCTGGAGTAAAAACAAAATACACACGATGCCAAATCAATGCAGCATAACCTATATACCAAGTCACGCAAAAAAAAACTGGTGGCGTGGTAAAAAAACGCCTCCACCCCCCCCCCCCCCCCCGCTGAGCGGATTTTTATCTCGCGACCGTATGGCGCCCTCCTGGGGTGAGGTGGCGCCCTCCAAACCCTTGCCCCCCCCCCCTTCGGGATTTTCTAAATACGCCGCTGGCGCAACTCAGCTTAAGCCATCTGTCTTGTGCTTCCGTGTTGGGAGAACAAGTTTGTCGGACGACTAAAAGGTCTGGCTTTCGAATTGGATGCTAGTTTTGCACATTTCATTCGTATTTGCACCGAGTACCTACCGACAAATACCTAAACATGGTACACCTCCTAAAAAAGCTAAATATAGAAATGCCTATTTCTATCCAACTTATGCTAATAGCATACACTAGGTATACAATTCTCCCATATGGTACTTACCATTTATGGTATGGTATAATGGTATGGTATATATGGTACTTACCATTTTATCTTAAGATAAAATTAATTTTGTAGAACAACTACCTAACAAGTGCAGATTTACGCCTGTGGCATAAATTGCGGCTATCTTATCATGGTCTCGCTCACTCTCAGAACCGCAATAAGGTAATTCGACGGATTTCGTCCTCTGAGCCATGTACAGGTCTCGCGGGTTTTAGCGGTAGGT